AGTAGTAGTAGTAGTAGTAGCAGCAGCAGTAGTAGTACACATATTCAGATTGATCTGATATCTGCCTTTTTGGGGAAAGGGAGGGAGTTGTCCTACAAAAGGAACAAGAAACTGACACATCTAGCAACTCTGGCTTGTTTCTGCAAAATGTTACAGGACAAACTGTGCCCTGTGTGTGACCCTGCAGATGGCTCTTTAAAAGAAAAAAAAAATCCAGAAAAACTAACTGAAAACTAAACGAAGTACCTGGATGGAAATAACTATCCTACGGGAATCAAGCTGAAAGACAAGCATCGTTCTAAATATTATCCGACGCATTTGTGCAAAGGTAGTAAAAAGAGATACAGGGCTGGGGCGTTTGTGATCCAGATTTTTAGTGGCTGAAATTGTAATTAAACTGCAAAGAGAAATGGATGCCATGATTGGTCTTGACACTAATTACCAGAAGGAAAGACATTTATGGAAATTCTGCTGTAGCTTCAACTTCATGAAATATTATTAGGGGAGGGGTGAGGAAAAGAAAAAGAGAGAGAGAATTACCTTCTCTAATTCCAACAGATGAAACCTTAATACTTGTATGGCTTGGATCATCTGTAAAAATACAAAACAATGTAAGTCTCTATCCCTGATTTTAGGGATTCTCCAATGCTCCTCTTCCTGTTTACTATCAAGGAGTTACTGTATGTATGTGTATATGCAGACGTGTGCCTTGATGTGTGTGAATGTTTTGATTTATTACAGCACACTAAAACTTAAAAGCAGTCCTTCTGTACACTGTTTAACAAAAAGAAAGCTCAGATTTTTACTTTTGACCGCTGTTGCAATGAATTGGCCAAATTACACGGATCATAAATATTTCTTTAGCAAACGGTAATGTAGATATTGCTGGTCCAGTAGAGCCTAGCAAATTTGGGAAAGGTGAAGAGAATAAGTTTCCATTGCAAGAGGCTAATTTAATTTTTTCCAAGTCAATTTGACTCAAGTTTTTTACCTCAAACTGTCATTATTCCAGGGCTACGGAGCTGCCTTTAAAGCAAAGATACCTCGAGATTTGCACAATCACAATTAGATAAAATGAGGCAAGTCTTGGACGCCGGGCAAATGTCCTCGGATACTCCACCCAACTTCGCCTTTGGATCATGCTACTGAAGTGTGTGGTTGCCTGGACCGAACTCCATCTCAAAAAGTCCCCAGCCCGTTTTTTTCACTATAGTCTTCCCCCCCATTCTGAAAAAAAGGAAGACTTGCCTCTTAAGAAAACAGGGAAAACACGTATGTCAGGGAGACGTATCTGAACTCTTACCAAGTTATCCAGTTCGGGGTTAGAAGAAAATAAGGGTTTTTCTGCTCGGATCTAGACATAGGGTAGGAAAGTCCGGGGCGAAGGGATTAAAAAAGAAGAAAGAAAAAGCAGTTTGAGAGACCGAGGCAACTAGGTTGTATTGCATCCTTACCCTTGCTTCATTACACCATGCCCCCTCCCCATACAATCATTCCCACAAGCCCACCCCCAACTGCTAGGCTTAGCCGAAACACTCAAGCAAAGGAGCCCAGCGCGCTGCCAAGCCTGTCGGACAGCTGTCTGCTGCGCCTCTGTCCCCCTGCGCCAGCAGCGACCCAAAAGCTGGCAGTCTTCTTGGGAAAGAAGGGCGGAGGGGGTAATCGAAGCCCTAGGGCGACCCTTCAAGTCAATGTGTGGGCCGGAGGGCTGCCCTCTCTTCCGGAGAGGAGGGGGAGAGGCTGGAGCGAGAGGGAGTCGAGGGGCTTCACGGAATGAAGGCAAGGCGACGAGGGCTAGGAGGCGGCGGGCGAACCGTCCTGGCTTTTCCCCCGAATGTCGCACAGGCCCGGGGAAGGGCACAATGGATCAGGGGCCCTGGGATCGGGTTGCTGACCTGTTTCGCGAACACGGCTATATCTTCGTTGAAAGACTCGGAAGAACAAACGTCGCCTCCCGCTACCCCGGGCTCCCGGGGCGTGCACGTCGCTAGTTCACATTTCTCAAAAATCAGTGCTAAGAGTGGGAAGAGGGGGTGTCTGAAAGGGGGGGAAAAAAAAGGTAAGAGTCACCAAAGCAGAGACCTGGTGAGCCGCGCGGGCTCAAGGCGGCCGGGCTTCGGGCAGAGCCTGGTCTCCGTTGGGGAGGAGAACCCTCCCGAGTGAACTTTTCAGCTCCGCGCTCTCCACCGCACCTCACCCGGCTCAGCCCGCTCTCCTCCCCTGCAGAACCAGAAACCTGGATCTGAGCCCTGGGACCCAGTCTGGGTTGCCCATTTGAAAACTGATCGGAGGACCTGTGCAACGTTAGCTAAAACTATCAACCAAATGGATTTAGCAGCCATTTTGAATTCACTTCTGCCCCCACCCTCCAAGCCCCCCACCCAACATGCACTTTAGTTCTGGGATGGGGAATAAGAAATCAGCCTTGGGATTTACTGTGACTGTTTTCACGGGAGCGGGTTAAAGAAAGCTATTTGGGTAAGCTAAATTGTCAAAGTTTCCCCATTTGGGGGGGTGGGGTGGGGTGGGGTGGAGAGACAGAGAAATAAAGGTTCCCTGAAAGAAATTTGAACTGTTTACATGTGGATCACCAGGTCTTCCTCCCAGTTGGATCAGGAGATTATGCTTTTCCTTCACAAACTCACTAAGGTAAGGAACAATATCATTGAATGGAGTATGAGAATGCACATTGTGGAACTAGTGACTTTTCACATTTTAAACTTTTTTTTAAAATGTTAATAAGTCATTCACTAAATCAACATCATGCTCCTTTCCTCTGCAACTTTCTACTTCACCTTTCCTTCTAAGCACCTTGGGGCTGCAGAACTGAAAGTAATCCTAATGCTAAGGGGAAAGTATGATAGTTAAATATGCAGTATTTCTTCGGATACGCCCAAATGGTGACTGCAAAGAGGCAAATTCATCCAAAGTTATACTGGAGGAATAAATCAAGCTCCACCACTAAAAACTCTTTTTAAAAATCCCGCATCAGAGAAGATCCAAATGCTATCCAAAGTCAGTGTGGGGGATGGATTCTGCAATTAGTCTTGAAGATCTTTTAAATTTCAATTTAAAGGAAGCTGTCAAGTTGTTCTTTAAAAAATCCAGGAGCCTTAGTATAGGAAAAGGAAAAGGAAGCATTCCTTATTTCTCAACACTTCTTAAAAATATCTACTTTCAGAGAAACTTCTATTTATATTTCTTTTCTACCATGAATTCAGTCTATTCTTTCCTTCCTTCCTTCCTTCCTTCCTTCCTTCCTTCCTTCCTTCCTTCCTTCCT